AACTGAACTGACAATAGAACCACCTCCCACAGAAGGTGAGACGGAACTTGCAGACTGAACCTAACCAAGCTGATTACTGACCAAAACATACAAATAAACCAAAAATCAACCTTCTCCAGAGGATTTTAACAGAATCAGAGTCTCACAACATAACATTCAAAATGTTCAGGATACAATCTAAAATTGCTCAACATTACAAAAAGCAGAAAAAGAACTTAAAAAATTCTCGGGAAGAAAACAATCAACAAATGCCAGCTCTGAGATGATCCAAATATTGGAACTATCACACAAAGACTTTAAAGTAGCAATTGCAACCATCTTCTGTAAGGTAAAGGTGAACACTCTTGAAATGAATGGAAAGATAGAAGTTATTGGCAGAGAAATAGAAATTATTTTTAAATGAAAATTGCATAACAAAAAATATAATATCTAACATTTTTAAATTTACAGCATGGATTCAATAACAGAACAAAGCTGATGGAGGAGTTGGTGAAATTGAAGAGGAAGAAATATAAATTATCCAACATGAAGAACAGAGAGAAAAAATGTTTTACAAATATTAGACATAACCCCAGGGTCCTGTGGAAAAATATCAAAGGGTCTGACATTCATGTCATTAGAACTCCTGAGGGAAAGAAAAAAGTGATTTGTGCAGAAAAAATTTTTGAAGAAATAGCGACTAGAAATGTCCCAAATTTGGCAAAAGACACAAATTTTTAAAGAAGCTTAGTGACCTAAATAAAAAACAAACAAAAACCATGCCCAGAACACTTATAATCAAACTGCCGAAAACAAATATATGAAAAAAAATCTTGAAAGAAACAAGAGAAAAAAACATATTACTTTCAGGTAGAACAGTGACTCAAATGACAGCAGATTTCTCATCAGAATCCATGGAGGCAAGAAGACAACAGAACCAACATCTTTAAAATGCTGAAAGAAAAGAGCTAGCCACCAAGAATTCTAAATCTAGCAAAAAATATCCTCCAGGTGAAATGAATTTAACTACTAAGAATTTCTGAACAGTTGAGGAAAATCTTTAACATTAAAGACAGAAATCAAAACAAAAGTAGAAGAAAGTAAACACACTATATAGCAAAAGACTTCCAAAAACTCTCATTAGTATCCTTAGATAAAGGATAATATTGAAATTATAAAACAACGGGAGGCTGAGGCAGGAGAATGGCATAAACCCGGGAGGCGGAGCTTGCAGTGAGCCGAGATCCGGCGACTCACTGCACTCCAGCCTGGGCGACAGAGCGAGACTCCGTCTCAAAAAAAAAAAAAAAAAAAAAGAAATTATAAAACAAGAGCATAATTCTACAAAAGCAAAAAACAACAAACAACCTTTTTTTTTTTTTAAGACAGAGCCTTGCTCTTTCACCCAGGCTGGAGTGCAGTGGCACAATCTCAGCTCAGTGCAGCCTCTGCCTCCCAAGTTCAAGTGATTTTTGTGCCTTGGTCTCCCAAGTAGCTGGGATTACAGGCACGCACCACCATGCCTGGCTAATTTTTGTATGTTTAGTAGAAATGGGGTTTCACCATGTTGTCCAGGCTGGTCTTGAACTCCTGACCTCAAGTGATCCACCCACCTTGGCCTCCCAAGGTGCTGGGATTACAGGCGTGAGCCACTGCAACTGGCCTGAAAGCCTTAATAGAAGTGTGGGAAGACAGTGTTGAGGAAATTTCCCAGAAATCTGAGTAACCGGAAAAAAAAATGGGAAATAGAATAGGAAAAGAAGAATTAAAGGACTAGACTAGAAGGTCCAATTTGAAAAACAGAAATTCCAGAAAGAGAGAATAGAACAAATTATACAGAGAAGAAGGAATTATTTCTAAAAAATAAAATATTCCCAGAATGAAAAGACATGAGTTTACTAATTGAGAGAGCACCTGAGTGCCCAACCTAATGGATGAAAATAGATCATACTGCAGCACATAATTGTGAAATTTCTCAACACTTAGGAAGAAAGAAGAGCCTACAAATTCTCCATGAAGAAAAGGGGTCATGAAAGATTAGGAATCATAATGCTTTAGACATTAATAGTTAACATCAATAACAATAGAAGTTGGAAGGCAACAGAATAATTCCTTCAAAATTGTGATTGAAAAATTTTCCAACTGGATTATACTCGGCTAAACTCACAATCAAGTATAAAAGTAGAATAAGTACAAATTTTCAGATATGCAAGTCTGAAACAATTTATTTCCCATGCACTCTTTGTCAGAAATGATTGAAGATTGCATTCTGTCAGAAAAAGGAAAAGTATTCATAGTTTACTAGAGGCTCAACTGTGAATAGCATAGACATAGTGTAGTAATGTAGATACTGAATATTGATTATAATTTTATTGGGAGGACAGTGGATGGGGATAGTAGTTATGTGGCAGGGACAGAGGGAGGAAGGAGGCTACAATCTCATCTTCCATGGTGGGATGTCAACAGAAATAATTAAAACTGAAAAATGAAGAAGTAGCCACTCAAAGCATACGATTGAGAGTCATATAAGTAAATATTTCAATAATCTGCTAAACTATATTAAATTGATGTATTCAACTGCCTCGCAGGCCAGGCACGGTGTCTCATGCCTAATTCCAGCACTTTGAGGGGCCAAGGTGGATGGATCACTTTGAGCTCAGGAATTCAAGACCAGCCTGGGCAACATGGCTAAATCCCATCTCTACAAAAAAGTACAAAAAATTAGACAGGTATGGTGGTGCATGCCTGTAGTCCCAGCTACTTGGGAGGCTGAGGTTGGAGGATCACTTGAGCTTGGGAGGCAGAGATTGCAGTGAGCCAAGATCATGCTACCGCACTCAAGCCTGGGTGACAGAGCAAGACTCCAGGGAAGGAAAAATGGGGATGCATTTTTTTTTTTAATAACAAATCTGTAAAGATAATTGACTTTTTTAACCATGGGGCTGCATAACTTTAACAACTACAAACCTTTTTCTAAAAATGAAGCTAGCAGTACCTTGATGTGGCCACTAAATTCAGGAGAGCTATCCTCAACATTCAATTGTTTTCATTGTTCCATTTCACTCCTCTGCAAGAAGTAACTTATGATAATCAAACTCACAAAGAGAGCACTGTTAAAAACCAGAATGGCAATTTATTAATTTATAATGTGACACAAAACTGCCATTTTGACCAAATATTTGCTTACTGTGCCAAGAATGATATTTGGTAAATAATATATGTTCAATAAATACTTGTCTAAGACTTGTTTTACTAATTAGTACATTATTTTTAAAAAACAATTTTTTTAAAAGAGAAAGGGTCTCATTATGTTGTCCAGGCTGGTCTCAAACTCCTGGGCTCAAGCAATCCTCGTGTCTCAGCTTCCCAAAGCACTGGGATGACAAGCATGAGCCATTCCACCTGGCCTTATTAGCACATTATTTTATTTTATGCAAATACATGATGGGAAAAAAAGTATTATTAAAAAGTTGCCTTTTGAGCACAGAGCCAGGTCAAGGAGGCAGTTAGATGATCTTCATGGTGGCCACGACACACCCATTTCTGTTGGAGGAATGGGCTGGTCTTCAGACTGTTCACTCCTCTGTGCGTGGGTTAGGACACCTTATGGGCAGGGCTTGGATGGTGCTGCCTTATCACCTTGCTGACCCTCCCTTCATCTGCCCCATTGCTGACCTGTGCCCCTACAGAGCTCTCTTGACACCTTCCACAGGGCAACAGCTGTATCTGGGAACCATTCTATTTCAGGAGTTGGTAATTTTGTCAGATGTAATAATGACAGAGTGGTTATATATTTGAGTGTTCTTGTCAATAGGCATGTAAACTGAAGTATTTATGAGTGAAATGACATTATATCTGTTGCTTAAAATACTCCAGGGGAAAAAAAAAGCAGCGGATAGAAAAGAGATAGATGAAACAAAATTGATTAAAATGTTCATGATTATTGAAGTTGGCTGCATAGGAGATCTATTTTGCTATTTTCTTCACTTTTGTGTATATTAGAAAGTTTTCATAATAAAAAGATAACAAACATAAAATAAAATGAAACAATGGACTTTTAAAAATGTTTTTAATGAGAGCTAAGCTATGAGGACACAAAGGCGTAAGAATGATACAATGGACTTTGGGGACTCGGGGGAAAGGGTGAGACGGTGATGAGAAATAAAAGACTACACACTGGGTGCAGTGTACACTGCTTGGGTGATGGGTGCACCAAAATCTCAGAAATCACCATTAAAGAACATATTCATGTAACCAAACACCACCTGTTCCCCCAAAACCTATTGAAATTAAAAAAAAAAAAAAAATCCAATTTGCAGTGGCTCTACAGTCTGGCTTTTTCATCATGTCATGGCCCCATAAAGAGGTAGCATTTGTGCTAGACCTTGAAGGAAGTAGAATTGGTATGTATGAGAAGGAGAAAAAAACAATAACAATGTTTTTAAAATTATCATTGAGTAGAATTCCTCCTTCTTTAACATTATTGCTCTTTCTATTGTTGTATTTCACAGAAATATGTATTCTGCCTAGAAAAGAAAACTGAACTGCCATTGATGGTCAAAATGGCAGAGAAAAATCTTGGTTAAAAAAATTACATTAGTTAGGCCAGGCATAGTGGCTCACACCTGTAATCCCAGGGCTTTGGGAGGCCGAGGCAAGAGGCTTGAGCCTGGAAAGTTGAGGCTGCAGTGAGCCATGATCACATCACTGCTCTCTAGCCTGGGTAACAGAGCAAGACCCTGTCTCAAAAAAAAAAAAAAAAAGCTTTATATTATATACAAAAATATAATGTATAATATAATTATATTATATAATATTTTAGTTTTTGACATCTCAAAAAAACCTAAAATGCTAAAGAAGGAAAATGGATTTTCTGAATAACATTATAATTAAAAATATAGGAGAGTAAGATTCCTAATAAAATCTATCTGACCACTTCACACAAAACTTTACTTATCCATGAATAAAATATATCTAGTTAATTGATGAATGTTGGTAAACTTTCCCTTTTGCTTTTCCAGAGGCCGTTTCTCTATAGTAAAGAAATGCATTCACAAAGCTACCCGCAAAGATGTGGCTGTGAAATTTGTTAGTAAAAAAATGAAGAAGAAAGAACAGGCTGCCCACGAGGCTGCCCTGCTTCAGCACCTACAGCACCCTCAGTACATCACTCTCCATGACACCTATGAGTCCCCCACGTCCTACATCCTGATCTTGGAACTGTAAGTACAGATGCCGTCTCTCTAAAGTCGCCCCCATCCATTTGGGTTAGCTCTTGCCCACAATTAATGGAAAAGACAGTTACGTTTTATACAAGGTCCTATCATTTGCAAAGTGCTGCATATAACATGCACTCTCTCCCCCATTTTATAATCAATGTCATTTCCATTTCAAAGATTAAAACATCATAATAGGGATAAGGGAAGTCCTTAGAACTAGCTCCTTAAGACTAGGAATAGAGAAGCTGGGACTTGAACCCATATCCCTCTCCCTTCCATGTTTATTTTCTTTCTATTATGGACTCTTGGGCTGGGCATGAGTTTGGGAAGAGCTTGTCGACAGTAGGCTGATTGACAAGGTGGAGCTGAAAGAGAGGGCTCTGTGTGTCAGTTCACCACCATAGCATCTCCAGTCTACCACCCAAGAAATTCCTTCTAGGGGAGAGCCTTAAACATTCCACTCATTCCAGATTTTCTAGGGACTTAGGCAACCATATACCCCTAGAATAGATTTAATAAAGCAATAACGTCCCATTCTCCCCACCACTACCCCAGACTAAGAAGAAACAGTATGCTCTGTGGTTTAGATAAATATCACAGAGATGAAAGAGAACAGAGTCTTTTCAGAAGTGATACAAGTAACAGAAATGTGATCAGATTGGTGCTAATGAGGCCCTTGGCCTAGACAGGAAACAGACATTTCTGCCAAAGACCATTGCTGTGTATGGCTCCACAAGAACCCGTTTTCAGTAAAGAAGTGCCTGCATTTTCAGCCTTTCAACTACCATGTTAGTCCGGCTGTTGCGTGATTGTTGGTCTAGGTGTGTGTGTACGGGATCTTTGAGTCAGTAACTTGCCACAAATTTATTTATGATAAAATAAGAAAGCAAAAAATGCAAGCAAGTTTGGCTATTTTTAAAATCAGCTGGAAAAAAAACAGAGGGGACAAAAGCAGTGCTGCTAGCATCTGTAATCCTTTTGTGAAACTTAAACTGTATGTGGTTAAGTAGTTGGTAGTTTGTCACTGTAGACTTAACAGTCTTTTTCAGAGCCTGACCTGTCTGTAGGGAACCTCCTAACTCAAAAGGTATATTCTATTGCTAGTGAACTATACTTGTCCACAGATGACAACATCTGTGCTTGAGTTCCAATGAAAGGTATTGTCACTATGTACCAGGTTGAATTCAGCTGACCCAGAACTTCTGCCCCTTCAGACTTGCCAACTACTGTTTTAAGGGAAGGTGCTGATAGTGGGCTACTGCAGTGCAATGGAAAGAAGCTGCTCTTGGAATGAGGAATCTGGGCTCACGTCCCAGCTCTGTGATTTGAAGCAGAATACTTAGTTTGCCAGGGCCCCGGGTTCTCATCTGTGAAGACTGAAATTCCTCCAACATCCCAGAGATGTTGCAGGGATTAAGTTAGATGAATAGTGGGTTGAACTAGTTTAGCAAACATTTACCGAGCACTCACTATGCACCAACCACCATCCAGACCAGGGCCAGGGCTGGGGGAACAAAGGTATAGTTATAAGGGTAGTTTAGAGGAGGCAGAGGTAGAGTTTGTAATCCTGTAATCCTAGGGGAGTTACATGTCTAATGAGGAAGACCAGTAGATAGAGAGATGGATGATTTTAATATAACATGGTAAATACTAAGAAAGACATGCATGCACTGGAGAAGGTTGCTGTGAGAACGTAGGTGCTTGGTTGAACTTGAAGTTCAGGGGAAGTTTGTGGAGAGGCAGTGCCTGAGCTAATCCCTGTGCTGGATCTCATTATCCTGTTATGCTTATGTGGCACATACTTATGCTGCCAATTATGTGACAGTGGCCTCCCCTTAGGTGGTCACCAGAATTGCTGGGAGAGCTTTTCTTTACCAGGCAACTGAGATTTGGATTCCCTATTCTGGGGTGGGATGCGGGCATCTGCCTTACCCAAAAACTCTAAAGGTGAACTTGGTGGCTAAGACTCTCTCACTTGGAGCAGTGCTGCTATTAATTGCTCCCTTAATGACCCCAAGAAGTTCAGGGGAATATATTTAACAAGCCCAATCCTACTCCATCTACTCTGATCACTCTTACCTCACCCCTAGCAGGGTCAGAGGAAAGCAAAAGAGGCTTGCATGGGTTCTAGCCTTTGCTCCTGTTAGGGAAAGTAGAAGACACCAGTGAGAAGGAGCAAGCTAGAGGGAAAGAGGAAAACTTGGCCAGGGTGATTTCAGCTGTAACTGAAAGTCATTTCTGACCCTGGATTAGGCTCCTCTGCATGGGGATTTCCTGGGGATGTGCCTTTAACAACTCAATACATTTGGTAACTCCTTGCTGTAAGAGGACACAGGGTGGCTGAGAATAGCTACCATCTATTTAGCACTTACCTACGCTACCAATTAGGCTTAAATGCTTCATCATCTCATTCCATCCTTGCACAATCCTCATAATGAAATAGGTGAATAATAATATTCACCCACTATAAGATAATATTAATTCATTATATTAGATTAATATAATGAATAATAATTGTTATTATTTTGTTGCTGTTCTTATTCCCACTTTAAAGATGGTTCACTTTGGTGAAACCAAAACACAGAGTTCAAATGACTTGCTCCCAGCCTTCAGCAGGTAGGTAGCAGACCCAGGATTCGAATCTGGGTCTGGATGGCTCCATATACCATGTTCTCAATCACAGTTCTCAAGGTTGGAAAAGTTGCCCAGAAGGCAAAGGATTCAAAAAGGGACCAAGAGCCGGGCACAGTGGCTCATGCCGGTAATCCCAGCACTTTGGGAGGCCCAGGCGGGTGGATCACTTGAGACCAGGAGTTACTGACCAGCCTGGCCAACATGGCAAAACTCTGTCTCTACTAAAAATACAAAAATTAGCTGGGTGAGATGGCACACACCTGTAATCCCAGCTACTTGGGGAGCTGAGACACCAGAATCGCTTGAACCTGGGAGGCGGAGGTTGCAGTGAGCCACGATCATGCCACTACACTCCAGCCTGGGCGAAAGACTGTCTCAAAAACAAAACAAACAAAAAACAACAACAACAAAAAAGGTGGCAGGGTGGGAGTAGGGCAAAGAATCAATAATGCAAAGAACAAACTTTGCCTACTTTCTGTTTTCCCCAACTAAAAACTGACAAATGAAAGTAGTTTGGCTAGACGCAGTGGCGTCCTCCAGAAATCCCAGCTATGTGAGAGGCTGAAGCAAGAGGATCACTTAAGCCCAGGAGTTCGAGGCTGCAGTGAGCTATGATTGTGCCACAGCATTCCAGCCTGGGTGACACAGTGAGACTTCATTTCTAAAATTAATATAAAATAAAATTAAGAAGTACTTTGCAAAACACACATGGGGTTGCTTGCAGCCCCTAGGTTACGGTTAATCAGAATATTGCTGAAGGCTCTCTTGGTGAAGGCTTTCTTTACTTAGCAATCGAACCTCTTCAATGGGCGTCACAACTTTTTTGTTGGGAGCAATTTTTAGAGTTAATGAAGAATGTTTCTTAAACAAGGTCATTCATATTTCTTCCCTGCAGTACACCATATTTGTAAATATATTTATTTTAGTTCTGAATATTACAATAACTTTAGGCTCTAACTAAATATGCATGTGTTGCACATTTAGTCTTCATGTATAACAAGAAGTGTGAGAGAGCTTAGAGCTCGTACTGATTTTTATATGTGTTATTTTTCTATTTCTTCATATCAAACATATTTCCTTTGCCTTTCCCTGCCTACTTTCAGGATGGATGATGGCCGCCTCTTAGACTACCTTATGAATCATGATGAACTGATGGAGGAAAAAGTAGCTTTCTATATTCGAGACATCATGGAGGCTCTGCAGTACCTTCACAACTGCAGGGTTGCACATTTGGACATAAAGGTAATAAGAAGTGTCAACTTTGCAGGGAATACCTTAAGTGGCCAAGTCCAACTTATAGTCATTACTCATAAGGAATATAAATTCAAAATCATTTTATTTACTTAGAGTAGAATATTATGACTTTTTTTTTTTTTTTTTTTGAGACAGGGTCTGTGTTGCTGAGGTTGGAGTGCAGTGGTGCAATCTCGGCTCACTGCAACCTCTGCCTCCTGGGTACAAGCAATTCTTCTGCCTTAGCCTCCCGAGTAGCTGGGATTACAGGTGCCCGCCACTACACCCGGCTAATTTTTGTATTTTTAGTAGAGATGGGGTTTCATCATGTTGGCCAGGCTGGTCTTGATCTCCTGACCTCAAGTGATCCGCCCGCCTTGGCCTCCCAAAGTGCTGGGATTACAGATGTGAGCTACCACGCCCATCCCATTATGACTATTAAAGAGAATCTGGGTTGTCATACAATTTAAGTATATCATCCATGAATTAATGAGAATATACCAGAGCCACAATGACATCTGGTGTGAGAGAAAGTAGGGAAGTTCTACCTACCTAATCTAACTTCATAGAAGTAAGCCAACAAATGTCACGTTTTCTTCCATGCTCCTCAAAAAGAAGCCCCTGTTCACCAAAATGAGTAATTTATTATTTCCTTGACTCAATGCAGAAGCAATGTAGTTAAGAAGACATGATTTTCAATGTCAAACTACTTCTCTGAATTACAATCCAAACTCAAAGTGTAGTAAGCTCAAAATGATACTTTGAAGTCTCCTATGCAGTTTCCATAGTGCATAGGGAATTTTCCATACACCATAGGCTTTATCAAAGAATAGCATAATTGTGTTTGAATTAATGAGGTCTTTTGAGTAGTCAAAATAGAGGCCTGAACTTCCCTTCTTTTCTCCCTTCCTCCTTGGATCTCTGCAGCCTGAAAACCTGCTCATTGACCTACGGATTCCAGTGCCTCGAGTGAAGCTCATCGACTTGGAGGATGCTGTCCAGATTTCGGGTCACTTCCACATTCACCACCTGCTGGGGAACCCTGAGTTTGCTGCCCCAGAAGTCATCCAAGGCATCCCCGTCTCCCTGGGGACAGACATCTGGAGCATCGGGGTTCTGACATATGTCATGCTGAGTGGCGTCTCCCCCTTCTTGGATGAGAGCAAAGAGGAGACATGTATCAATGTATGCAGGGTGGATTTCAGCTTCCCCCATGAATACTTCTGTGGTGTGAGCAACGCTGCCAGAGATTTCATCAATGTGATCTTACAGGAGGACTTTCGGAGGCGGCCCACGGCAGCCACATGCTTACAGCATCCATGGCTGCAGCCCCATAATGGCAGCTACTCTAAGATCCCCCTGGACACCTCCCGCCTAGCATGCTTCATAGAACGCCGCAAACACCAGAATGATGTGCGGCCTATTCCCAATGTCAAGAGCTACATTGTCAACCGGGTGAACCAAGGGACGTAGCCATCTCCCAGCCCCTGTGGTTTCACATAGATGTGCAGTGTGAACCAAAGCAAGACTGAATGTGATTGTAAATAATTCTGTTCATCATTTCACTCCGTGCAGTTCTCTGAATTGAGAGATGTACCTCTTAAACCTCATCAGTGGTTATTCAGGGTCTGAGCAGCAGTAAAAGTCACCCTAAATCCAGGGGCTTTCCAGAAGGTCATTCTGAAGAAATAAAGAGGCAAAGAGTCACAGAAGTGTTCAGAAGAAGGACAAAGATGAGAACAATATTGGCTGTTATGAAATTTTAACTGTATCTTCCAAAATGAGTGGTTAACTGGGCAAACCGTAAGCTCACAAGAGTGTAAAAGTTCTCTGGCTTTGCTGAAATTTTAAGCAAAAAGTTCTATTTAATGGAGTTGTCATGTATATCAACTATTCTGGTTTAGATAACTTAGATATAGTTTCTTAATAGGATAGATATATACATACAGTATAATATATCCCATTCAGGTTTCAGAGTTTTCTAATATATAGAGAGATATATATTAAATCAAACACAAGTAACTTTGAGTGCTCCAGTTAAGACAGTAATTTATTTACCGAAGCATTACATTGTTTTGACTAAGCACAATTAGATGACAAGTTTTGTAGAGCATTTTATAAATCTTGTATAGAAATCTTTTACCAGAACCTGTGCATTAAGAGAAAGCAACATTGCCCTTTTGAATGAGATAATTTTTTCTGTCAATCACAGGTTATTTGATTAAGATAGGTTCTTTCTGTATATGAAATGCTACCCGCAAATTCGCTGGCAGCTCAGAGTTAATCTGGCAAGAAAGCCTGCCAGGAAATAAGTTCAAATACACTATGAGCTGTGGGGGTATTTTTGTGTCTACACCAGGTTTGAAATAAATAAACAAATATAAGAAGTTCATACAAAAGGGCAAATGAAAACCTTTCCTACAGTTCCTATGAACAACGTACCAACACTTTCTGATTTCTTCTACGGCTGTAGAATACCATCTTTCAGAAAGTTGGCTGACTTTATTTCTAACTCCTTATTGAAGCTAAGGGGTGCTTACTAAAAGGAGGCAGCCATATAGGCCTTTTAAAGGCCTGGTCCTAAGTCCTTTTTAAAGCCATGGAACAAAACCTGATACACCACCCTAACAGAGCATTAAGTTGTAACTGAGATTGCAATACCTGTCACCACTCAGCCGCTGATAGTTCTCTGAACCAAAAGGACTAATTGTGCTTTGAGGCCAATCCTGCTTTCTGGTGTATATTCTCCATACAAGATTATTAACAACTTCTCTTTTTCCCTCTGGTGGAAAAAAAAATTAAACCTGGGTATTTCATGGGTTTTCTTTCTTTATTGTTGTTCGTTTGTTTTGGAGGGAGGGAGTTTGTTTTTTGTGTTTGTACATGATCCACCCTTAGTTTTCTAGAATATGTGTTGAAAATAGATATTATTATGCAAGTAAGATTTTAAAAATGTAACTCAAGTGTTTGTTCAAATCAGGTTTAACGGCGTTGCTTCTCTCCTATAATGGGATAGAGAGAATTAAAATCACACAGTACAGAAGTGCAAGAAGAGAATATATGAAGGATGAGTAGAACTACAAACCTATCTAAATGAAAAAGAAATAGTGGAAACTAAGCCTGAACTTTACATATAAAAAGCATTATTCCAACAGTGGAAATGTAAAATTAAAAATCATCATTTTTTTTCCATTGGTTTCAAAGACAACTTCCTCATTCACCCTCCACCTCATCCCATCCAAGATTACAGATTGATAAATTAATGGAAATTATAAGCAATAAGACTAGATAGCACTTAGTATTTTCGGGATTAACCAAATATGTGGAAACCGACTCCGACTGTATTTGTTTCCTCGTTTTCAAATGGCCCTGGGTCATTAAGCCTCACTCCCTCAGAGGTCTCTCTTGACTAACCCCTATAGTCTTCATTTGGACCTTTATGTATATGCAAATACTCTATGATACAATACATAAAAATTTAAAACATACATTAAACATGTTTACTAAAATTTTTTAAAATTTAAAACATATTTAGTAAAAAAAAATTAGTAAACATGTCTTCATTGTGTTTAAAAAATTTAAAACATATTTACTAAAAATCCTTTTGGTAAACATGTTTACTAAAACCCTTTCAGTAAACATGCCTTCATTATGGTATACAGCATAAAAGAGGAAAGCCTGAGCCGGGCACGGTGACTCATGCCTGTTAGCTGGGCGTGGTGGCAATCGCCTGTAATCCCAGCGATTTAGGAGGCTGAGGCAGGATAATCACTTGAAACCGGAAGGCGGAGGTTGCCGTGAGCCAAAATTGCGCCACTGCACTCTAGCCTGGGCAATAAGAGCAAAACTCGGTCTCAAAAAAAAAAAAAAAAAGAGAGGAAAGCCTGGCCCATAGTGTTTGTCAAACTGTAGGCTCTGAGGAGTCCCAATATCCATAAATTCCAGCTTGGCAAGTTCTGTTCTGTCCACTGTGGATGACCTGAATCAAGATCCCCCTGTTGAGCCATTCTGAGTTTTTATAACAAGTTGAGTTTCTTCTTGAGAAGGCCAGGGCCCAGGACAATGGTGAACAGACCACGGCAGGTGGGAGGCAAGGATGGTATTGTTGAAATTATGTTATGGGGGCAGTTGACAGAATGTTAGACCTCAAGCTTTCGTATCAGCTTTTACAACAGAGTTGGGAGGATCCAGATCCAGATGTGGGGTTACGTGGAATTCCCCCAAGTACACATATTTGGGAAGTGAGAAGACAGGAAAAGAGGGACCTGGGAAAAGTAGGATGGTTTTGTTAACTGGAGCCAAGGTACAATCGTTAGACTAGAATGAACTTAATAGAGGCCCCAAGAGAAAGGGGGTATATTTTATATAGTTTGATAATGGAGGGAAACTAACAGGGAGGCTCCCTGTCTGCAAAGCTCCTGGTCTCTCCCAACAGAGATAAGAGAGTAGTCTTGGTTCAAGAGTTCTCCATAGCAAGTTGGAAATAACAAGGAATCCCAGATGATGAGCCTGGGGAATGTACTTTAAGTTGCTCTGAGGGCAACTGTGGTTAGGGAAGAAGGATCAGGGGCCACTCTTGTTCCTGTTTTGGTGGAGAGATTTATTACTTGGTAGTAAAGAAGAGAGGAGAGAGGAGAAAATAGTCCACTTCTATCATAGTGATGGTAGTTCACAGTGGGAATGAACTTTCAGCTGAAATAGGAAAAACAAACAATGGTCAAGGTCACAAGTTTCTTGCTTGGCTTATATTCATTGCATAGGGTTTTGAGCTTTTTGTTTTGTTTTGTAAGGGTGGGATAAAGGATGAAAAGATCAGGGACAACCCATAATAACTTTTAAGAAGTATTAATGATTTCCTACATCTTTACATTTGTTTCAAATTAAATAGATATATATCCACTTATAGCTGAATGTGGTAAAATTTTTAAGAAAAAAATGGTAATGGGCCGGGCGCGGTGGCTCACGCCTGTAATCCCAGCACTTTGGGAGGCCGAGGCGGGCGGATCACAAGGTCAGGAGATCGAGACCACGGTGAAACCCCGTCTCTACTAAAAATACAAAAAATTAGCCGGGCGTGGTGGCGGGCGCCTGTAGTCCCAGCTACTCGGGAGGCTGAGCCAGGAGAATGGCGGGAACCCGGGAGGCGGAGCTTGCAGTGAGCCGAGATCGCGCCACTGCACTCCAGCCTGGGTGACAGAGCGAGACTCCGTCTCAAAAAAAAAAAAAAAAAAAAAAAAAAAAAAATGGTAATGTTGGAGATATCCTTCAGGTCTCTCTCAGCCATAAACAGTGTAAGGGGGAGTACAGGAAGCAGAGGAGAAAGCTAGCTTCACTGCTTTGTGGTCCACAAAGCCTTTATAAATAGTAGTGCCTTTCAGAGGGGAGGATGGGAGATAAAGAAGTTCGTTGCATTTAGATTTACTGATATTGCAGCATTTTTTCTTTACTTCAAAATATCTTGTAAATGAAAACATCTGAATATAGGGGTGGGACCAGGAATGTTTGAGTTTCAATCTCAGCTATTCCTGATTCATCTTTTCTTACAGAAAGTCTTTGTTTTTTCTTCCCCAAATGTCCCCATTGGTAAAATGGGAGCTGGGGGATGGGGAAGGAGGGAGGACATTAATCTTACAGGAATGTTGAGAAATAACCTTGGTTGGGACATCTATAAAACACTTTGATTTTTTTTAAAGTGCTACACACTGCCAGTGCTAAGAATTTTATTGATAGTAACTTTGAACATTCCAGGTTTTCAATATTCACGTCTTTAGATACCATTTATAAACTCATGAGATTAAATTCTGTAAATTGCTTTCAGTTCGAAGTATCAGGTGCTCTTCGTCTAAATGTTATTTGGTCTTAGCCTATAATTTCGATCATTTAAGAGCTTGTCTACCGAAAAGGGTTCAGAGAGCTGATGAAGTCTTATGTCCATAAGCCGTTTTCTCCAGTATTTCTTATGGCAGTTGCGAAGAGTAAAAAGGCCTCGAAAGCAACTGCTACCTTCCTTCTCAAGCTTTACGCTCTGGAAAAATGGACAGAGAAGAACCCAACAACCACTTTCTTCACTTGGGAGAGCAGAAGTGAGAAGAAAACATCTTCTCATATCACAATTTATTTTTCACAGTCTCACAGGAATCTAAGAGGCAAATTAAATGCACAGGCAAATTAAATGCATAGAAATGAATTGGACTGTTCATTTTTGGAGAACAAACCTTGAATCTTTTTTTTTTTTTTTTTTTAAGGTGGTTAGGTCTTTCAGGAGTTGCATATTTGCTATCCCATAACCTCCATGATTACAGCCCACGAGTCAGGCGTTACTTTTTTCTTGCCTCTGTGGAAGAGCATGGCAATTTAGATTTGTGAGAATACGAGGGAGCAAATATGATATAAACTAAATTTTGTATTAACTAAAACTTTGTCCCATGCATTTAATAGAGGAGGAAATAATTTGGTACATAAGAGGTCTTCGTAGTAGGGCAAAGTTCAAACTCACCATGTCCTTATTCAGTGTGGCCAACGAATTGTGCTGGATGAGTTTTGAGGAATGTAGACCTTCTTCCTTTCTCTCCTGGGTCGCACCTCTACGGAGTCTGGGTTAGACAAACGCAATATGTGACCTTTCAGTGAATTTATTTATGAAACTGCACCTTGATTTTTCTTCACTATTTAAAGCCTAGGGATGATTTGAGGATGAATGATTAAACCCAGGGTGGGCTTAGAGACGATAGAGCTCACACACGCTCCATCAAGAAAAGGAAAGCTACTATGTTAATATTTATTTTCTAAAAATAGCAAGGCTCTCAGTTGTTTCATTAATTCTAAAGGGTTAAAAAGGGCTGAAATTTGTTTATAGCACTAAATGTTTTTAGTAGGAAATTTACTCACATAAAAAATTTATGCAGCAGTAGTAGAACACAGATTATCGTAAGAACATATTTTCTATGAAAGGCATTTCTTCCTCATTTTCAATAAATATAAAGAAGTTAGAGGAGAGGAAAAGCAATCACTCAAAGACAACTTTTAATCTTTGAGGGACATTATGATAAGCCTGAAATTAATATGCACAGGCTATTGCATTTTTCTGTGAGAAATGTGCCCCTTTGCTGTGAGATTCTAAAATGTGTTCAGATTTAGTTTTTATTCAAATGATCAAGATAATGGATTAGTTAGATAACTGCTATTTCAGATAGTGGGGTTAGCTGAGAAAAGGGAGCATGGTAGAAGAAATGCAAATAACAATTCTTGGAATGCCAACCCCTGAGGCTTAGTTTAACCAAACTAATTTTTTGGCCCAGGGATGGCCAGCATAGGAGTTTCCATCAATACCTGACTTCCATCAAGAACTGAATCCATGTTCTGGAGTATTACAGAGACTGTTACTATGACCTCAAAGACTGTGGCTACGAATCTGAAGTTAACAAAACATACATCTTCTCTTACTAACTTAAGCCATATCCGTCATCACTCTGTTTGATTTTTCTGACCCTGGTGCTTTTACTTCTGTTTCTGCCAAACTTCAGCCTACTCTATGGGGAAGGTGAGTAAAACTATTAGTTAGAACAAATATGAAGACTGTGAAAAAAACTAAACATACTCTTCAGAATGAGATCCTGTTCAGAGAACAGTAGTGATCAAAGTGCAAACTGTTGGAAAATACGGATATATGTACATCTGTACATGTATATAGTGTATAATATGTATGTATATGTTATTGCTCATATGCAGAAATCTATCCATTTGCAGACAGCCCAGGTGGGTCAATTTTTCTATTGGAAAACCATTTAGGGCCATTCAAAACCATTAGGGCTAATTTGTGGAGATGAATTCTACTCATTCTGGAATTAATTTGCTGTCTTTTGACATCCACAAAGCCAAACTAACAAAGTGTGAAACATAAAGGGGCCATCATTTAGGTTATTCTATCTGGACTTATAACTACCTTTATATTTGAACTATTAATAGTCAATTTGCAAACCGTATTGGCATCTCTTGGTTTTGAGTGACCCCGGCCCCCCCAAGTCTTTTGCAAATTTGGAGTGGGCTTCACTGGCCATTCAGACAAAGGGCCTTATTCATAAGTGGACAGGTTTCCCCATAGGGACCATCACACATATACATATAAGTACATACTTCCATCAGGCTTGTAACAATTGGTTTAAAATCACTCCACAGTATTGATAAATAGCTCTATATTTTCAAGGTGCAGAAGAATTCCACAGCCTTAATTATTTCAGTGTCTTGCTGGTCTGCCTTAAGTGTATCTTCTGGGTTTTTGGTTGTTTATTATTTTTAAATTTTTCTGCTGTTGTTCATTTTGTATGCACACCATGTCGTTTTGTAAAGGTAGGTTGTAAATATTTTATTTGTAAGTCAAAATCACTCATGTGTAATGTTGTAAAGTGATGACCTGCTGTCTTGTTACTGCTACAGTAAATGTTATAAGTTATGGATGAAACTTC